ATTGTCACAAAATAATGAAATAGCGCACAAAACCTCAGCAAAGAGCGATTAAAAGAGGGAGTGCTTTGTGGAAATCGTCAATGCGGCATGTGTACATGCTTCTGACGACATCCAGACAACTCTCGAGGACAACATCAATTGAGATATACCATCAAATTATGGGCTTTTATAAAGACCTTGTGCTTCTTGAATTCACCGATTGGAATGCCCATTATTCAGCCCATCTCTCCTACTCTTACGTCCCCAGCTTGTGGTCACTTGTTACGCGATTGCATCCATTTGGTATGTGCGTCTAAGTGCATCTTATGTTAATCTTTAAAGAGTTTGTTAGTGTGTAAGTGTGTGCTTGTGTATACGTGTGCCTACACGTTTGTGTGTCCGAGTGTGTGTCCGATTGGTGGAGGAGAGCGATTGCAATTTCTTGATTAAGTGAACTGGAAGTGAGTTCAGTTTTGAGATGAAGTGACAATTGTATTTACCTACCAACCAACGGATGACTCATTTCGGCCTCAATGGCTCTGCCTCAGCCGGCCACTGTTCGAGTGAAAGAGGATTGCTGCTCTCCTGTATCCACGGCCTCCGGCTCGGCTGGACTGGTCGTAAGCGGAGCAAGCGAAAGAGGGCAATAGAGATGCCGGTGGCCAGAAGCAAAGTTGAGGGTGACTCGGCCAAAAAAAGGGGCTGCGACTCGTTGGCTCCAGCCCTGATCCAATTAGGCCAATTTATGCTGATTACGCCAGACACCGTCTGCACCATCGTCGTCTCGAGTGGTCGGTCCGGTAGGCAAGAGGGTGGCATGCCTCGAGAAGTGGTCGGCCCAATCAGACTCGTCGGTTGGTCCACCTTGTCCGGGCCCCAAAAGTCGCCTCTGGCCATGATACAGAAGGGATGGGAGGCTATCCGAAATTGGCGTTTGTGTGCATCTGCTGGGACCGTTTTGTTGGTGTGTCGTCTCATCAGACCTCGTTACCTCCCAGTTGACCGCCTCCTGTACCATACGGCATCAAAGACAAGCGTCAAAGCAGAAGCTATTCGTTCAGTTGGGTCGACACTGATGCATCGGAAGACCCTGCGGGGTACGGAGCAATTCGGTTGTCGTGGAGGACAACTTCTTTTCCTCTCCTCGCCGCTCGTTCGAGTCCCACCTAAGCCATTATCGTATCGTCAAGTAGCCATAGCAAA